ATACAGAACACTTAGCCAAAGAAAAAGTAGTAATAGGAATCTAAGGGGGAAATTACTGGAATTACTGGCTTTTCAGAAAAACTAAAAGTTGGGAATTAAAAATGGATTTTAATAAATTTAGAGCAATGATTAAAAGTGACTGGAGGAGTTAATAGAAAAAGAAGGTGATGATGAATAGGAATTTTCTAAAAGACCAATTGTAAACAATTCTGGAGAGAGGGAGGAGGGGGAAGAATTGAAGACAGCAAAAGATGTAGCTATATAAAAAGTGATGATTGACAAATAAAAAAGTATGCATAGAATGCATATGGAAAATGAATAGAGGTCCCTGTCAGAAAAGATATAGCATAGACAGCCCAAAATTCTGTAGCTAGTGTCAGGAAAGCAAGCTCAGAATGAGCCAATATTAACAAAAGATGCTAAAATAATAAAAGAGTTTCTTTAGATATATTCAAAATAAAAGAGAAATAAAGAAGGAGAAATTCTAAGAGGTAACAAAGAGAAGGCATAGCTAGTCAAGCATTATTTGATTCAGTCTTCTGGTTCAACAAAACATGGTCCAACAGGAAATTGTGAAAAACAGGATGAAGCAGGAAGACTGAAATTTGAGAGTGATAGAAATGTAATGAGGAATACCTATTTACTTTGAATAAATTTAAGGACTAAAATTATATTTTAAGGTTCTGAAACAACTTCTGATGCCCTGAATAATTAAGTATTATTACTATTATTAAGAAGAATTGGTGAAGTGCCAAAAGAACAAATGTTGCCCCTAATTACAAAAAAGAGAAAAAGAAAGACTCAGCAATTTGCAGACTAATGAGGCTGACATCATTTTGGGAAGAAATATTCTAAGTAATTCATACAGAGATCAATCTGTAAGAACATTGAACAAATGCAGTAATTACCAGAAATCAGCATGAATTTATCAAAAACAAATCTTACAAGACTATTTTACCTCATTTTTTCCCCACCAGATTTCCTCTCTTCCCCCTCTTTCTCACTCCTCACCTTCTTTTAAAATAATAACAGAAAAAGAGAAAAAACAAAAGGACAAAAATACAATCATTATTTTTTTAAAAAGAATATAGTGCTTTAAAATAAGTGAAAAAATACAACAGAAAAAAAATAGAATACAGAGTATAATTTGTCATTACAACAGGAAACAGTTAAAATTATATGTAATACAAAATAATACAAAAGTATTTAATACAGAGATCACACAGATGTGTGTATGTGTAGTTGTACAGTATTTATTGTATAACTATCATGTTTTTTTTTAACCTACTGTATTTTGTATAAGTGAGTCCCATGTTTCATTAAACTTAGCCAAATGAAAACTATGTCAGGCAATGTGCTCAGAAGTAACAAATGTAATCAGGTCTTCAGTCCATTGAGTAAATAGGGCCGATCATTTATCTTTCTCATGTTGCAGTATAGGTCTTTTAGCTATAGTAAGGGCATGGAGAATCCATTTATATTGTCCAGTTGTCAAATTCCTTATATTAGGTATGTAATTCAAGAGAATATCTACACTAAGGAAAAGGCTTGCATGTTCAGATGACTGTCATGAATTCTACATCCTTCTTTTGTCGGCCAGATGACAAGCAAGTAGGTGAAGTATGTCCCAGCTGGCTCTCTATTAGCACACAGTACCTCTTATTTGCTATCAGAAAGCTATACTAATTCACTTTGTGATATAAGACATTGCTAGGAAAGAGGACCATCACTAGACCATTCTAAGCCCCAGTGTGCTGAAAATCTTCCTATTTTGAAGTCTATTTAGCAGAATATATGGCCCTCCACAGTATTCTTTGCTTCGTGATATGAGTCTGTTCAGCTCTGACAAATGTTCTGCTGATTTAGAAAGTTTATCATGCTTTTGGAATAAGAGTTGTCATAAGCAATGTAGTAAAATGTATGCATCATACACAAAATTTTGATGCTGCAACAGACATCAGTTGCCTGGGCACCAGTGGATACATTCAGCACACTCATGGTGGTGGGGAGAACTTTTCTGACATTACAGATCATCTTATTTACTACTGTAATGATGGAAAACATTCTGTACACAGCAGCTCCTGTCAAGAAGTGAGCTGTTATCACTCCTTGATGATTTACAATCTAAACGATATACCATGAGGTTAAGTTATAGTTTGGTATTGCACTGCAAGGACTACTGTTTATAGTGTTATGTTTTGCTAGCATATTACTACTTCTTGAAAACAAAGTATCCCCAAGGGACTATCAAAAGAATTCTTTATTGGTCAAGTGTGATGGACACACAAGGAATTTGTCTCTGGTACATAAGTTGTCAGTGTACATAAAAGCAACAAGTGATAAATCATGATCATAATCATAAATACAATCATCATAAATCATAAGATACAGCACTCCATGATAGTCATAGGATACTAAATAAGCAATCAAAATAAATCATACTAGGATACTAAATAAAACAATATAAATCATAAGTGTAGAAGTGACACCTTGGAGTAACACTCTTTTGCAGCATAAAACATTGAACAAGTAACATTCCATGTTATTAACTGACTTTTGCATACCACATCTGATATTTCTTCTTTTCTTTTTTTTATTATGAGACAATGCAATGGAATCTTTTCAAGTTTTCCTTTCTTTATTTCTGCCTGGGTACCCTTTGGTGGTGCAGATGCCATGTGGACAATGTGAAAATCAGTTCTCGCATTGCCAGTAAATAGTATGTGTAAGAACAAATTTGAGCACCATAAAAACAAATAATAGATAGAATCAAGGGAGTCTATTCAAAAGTAGGTTTCATTTTCCCCAATTCCGCTTATACTATTTATGTCCTTCTTGTCTCATTATCCTTTATTTACACTATAACGTAAATGTAAAAAATGTAAATATTAGATTACTGTTACGAAACAGTTATAAAAAGGGAACATATGTTATCTGTTTTGTGTTTGTTATATTGTGTTGTGTTATAAATAAGTAATTTTTTAAAAAAAGTAGGATTCATTTAGGTAGGGTGGAACAAAAAATTAAAGATAAAAAAGGTCTGAACTTCATATAAACAGGGCTTGCTCTTGATTAACTGTGATGGTTGTTAAGACCCTTTTGGATGTATTTGCTAACTTTCTTCAATAGATATTGTTTATACTTCATTTTTTATTTTCTTATCAGTATATCTAAATGGTTTTAGTTCCCTTTAAGGAGATGAAACTTGATAAAGAGAAACTAGCAGATCAAGCCACTGGTCACATTTAACGCCTGTTTCCTGTGGCAAAGAAGTGGTTAAGCATTTCTGAATGAATTGCATACCAGGATTTCTCCTGTTCATTGTTCACAGGCTTCGATGGTGTGAGCATCAATACCTCTCACATCATGTACTGCAGCTGATAGCTGTCATATCTCAAGTTGTGATTCCTTTTAAATAACATGATGAATTTATTAATAGGAAAAAAGCTTTATCCTTGAGAATAAATCCATTACAAACTCTTCCTTTGTAATGTGAGCTTTGTGTTCAGATGTTGAGCAATACACACTAGATCTTCAATAAAAATATTTATTTATAGAAAAAACACCAAATGATAAATATAAATACAATGAATATATTAAATACTTCATTCAAGCTTTGCTCTAGCTTGAAATATTTTGATCACAACTCTTCTGATCTTGGAATTCTGCCTATGATGCTTCATGTCCTGAGCCTCTGTTTATTTGTTTGTTTATTTGTTTGTTTGTTTGTTCAACTTGGATGCCGCCTTTCTCCAAAAACTCAGGTTCCTGCCTCTCTTCCTTCTCCTTGCCTCAGAATGACATATTCCCTAGAGAGCCTGAGAGCAGGATAAGAAAATACAGATGGAGAATTATCAAAAAGAAATCCAATCTAGAATTAAGGAGAAATTTCCAGTCAGTGAGAACAATTAATTAATTAAGTGGAACGGCTTGCCTCCAAATATTGTGGGTGCTCCATCAGTGGAGATTGCATCAAGGGATTGGACTAGAAGATCTCCAAGGTCCCTTCCAACAGATATTCTGTTTTGAACCTGCTGTTTTTTTCTTGACAACACATTAGCAGGTTCTCAACAGCCTATAGAGTTTAGAAAAAGCAGTTATAGTTGCTTTAATGGAGCTGCAGCAGTAAACGTCTGTTTTACGTGGAATCAAATCCACACACATAAACATCCATTTGTTTGTAGGTGCCCATCATTCATAAGAAAACCTAAACCCCATAGTTCTCCAATTCAGACAATGCACCTTTAGAACATGATAGGAGAGTTCACAGTGTCCCTGCTTATGAAAATGTTTTGTCTGCTTTTTCAGAATATGATTAGGAATTGATATTTTGGGTACAATTATTCCAAAAGGAATCTACAGCACTATCTCCTATGGCCTTATCCTATTTGGATTTAGGTGATATATCCATACCAAACTCAGTCTCAGTCTCAGTCTCTCCCCCCCCCTCCCCCCCACACACACTCTTTCTCTTTCAATCTTGCCTTTTAAAATATATTTTGCTCAACTCATGGCAGTGAACATCTCCTATTCTTATCAGCACCCTCCTATTTTTGGGTAGAAGTAGAAAGGAACATGATTGCTTTATCCTCACAGATATCAGAAGAGGAGAAAGTATCTATTTTGTTACCTATGTAAAAGTGCTTTGCTGTAGAACCAGGTCTTTCCTATATGCTACTTACAAATATATTTACTTTCTGGACCTTAGATTTAAAATGATCACAGTCCTGGAAATACTCAGGCCCAGCACCCTCTCCTTTGAATGGAGACTAAGAGGAAAGCTTCCACTTGGCTCAGAAACTGGTAGTTTAAACTTTTGATGAATACCATATGGCTTGGAAAGCTCCGGACATAAGATATTTGGATAAGAAATTTGGAGGCAGGCTCCTACTATGTAATATTTTTGCAATATTTATTCTTGACTTCACTCTCACTTTTATTTCTTTAGCTGTAAAAACTTCAAGAAACAGCAATAGTGAAATATTTGTTTTAATTTTCAGATTGATCAAAGAAACAAAAGAAACTGACCCAACAGTTCACCAGACAAGACAGAACTCTGAAGACTTTTTTTGTGTGTCTTTTTTCATCAAATTTGAGTCAAAGGATGTGTCTGGTAGACAGAAGCACAAACAGGAATTCTACAGAGGTTCAACCTGTCCTAGGACTCTTCTTGGGAACCATCTCGCTGGTTACAGTGGTTATGAATATTTTGGTCCTATATGCAGTGAAAACAGAAAAGAAACTACAGACAGTTGGCAATCTTTATATTGTCAGTCTTTCATGTGCAGATGTGATCGTTGGTGCAGCTGTGATGCCACTAAACATTGTATACTTGTTGAAGGATAAGTGGATTTTGACTAGAAAAGCTTGCCTGTTTTGGCTTTCAATGGATTACGTAGCCAGCACAGCTTCTATATTCAGCCTTTTCATACTCTGTGTAGATCGCTACCGTTCAATCCAACAGCCTTTAAAATATCTCAAGTACAGGACCAAAACTAGAGCCTCAGTCATGATTTCAATAGCTTGGCTGCTGTCCTTCCTGTGGGTGATTCCAATACTTGGCTGGCGAAAATTCACAGATCACAATGGTATGACAGTTCATAACCGAACGGATGATGAAGACATATGTGAAACAGATTTTTGTAGAACTACATGGTTTAAAGTCTTGACAGCCATAATCAACTTCTATGTGCCATCATTGCTGATGCTGTGGTTCTATGCAAACATTTACAGGGCTGTCTGTAAGCATTATCGGCATCGGCAGCTCATAAATGGATCATACAGATGTAACTCTAACGATGTTAGTGTGCATAATGGAAAGATTCAGGAAATGCAAAAGATTTGTTCCCAAAGTTCCAATAAAGACAGAGGATTTTCTTTCAATGCAAACAATACCTTTGAGCAAAACAAAATGAGGGAAGCTAACCTTCCATTAAGCAGCTTTGTTAAAATCTCGAAGGATTTTCCTAAAGGAAGTGACCATGAAGTAATAAAGCTTAACTGTTTCCCTCTAGCTATAACGCAGAAAGATTTTGAGTTAGGCAATACAAAGGGAAAATATGCCTGTGTCAGTAACAATACTGAAAATATAAAAAATCCTATCTCCCAGTTAGGCAAAATATCACATAGGCAGAGTTTTGCAGGACGATCATTGCCGACAATTCACTCGGATCCCTCCCTAGAGCAAAATTCTTATACTGAGCAACATTTTCCTCAGACGTATTCTAACAAAAGAGATCCCCTCAAACTCTGTTATCTGAAAGAAACATGGGGAAAGCTACGTACTCAGTCTGTTTGCCAGAGTCAAAAGCTGCATGTGAACAGGGACAGAAAAGCTGCCAAACAGTTGGGTGTTATAATGGCAGTTTTTATGCTATGTTGGATACCATATTTTGTATTGTTTATGGTCATGGCCTTTTGTGAAATATGTTATAACCGTCCATTTCACATGTTTACGATTTGGCTTGGCTATGTGAATTCTACTTTAAATCCATTTATATACCCACTCTGTAATGAAAACTTCAAAAAGGCTTTCAAAAAGATATTTCATATTAAAACTTAACTTATTGCAGAAAAAAATTATATGGGGACAGATGAGCAGGTTTATGTTGTAAGGAGGAAATCTGGTATTATTTAAATCTTTAAACAATGGTTTGGGTGTCTTAAAAGAGTTGTTTTTCTGTTTCTAGTGGTTTGTGGTCTTTTTAACAGTAGATTTTATAGCTTAAAACAAGATTGAGCTAGAATGAAATATATTGCAATTTAACATATCTTCTAAATGCTAACTTTTATATCTGATCATTCTAATCAGTGTTTAATTTAGCACAGTGACTTTTTCAAATGTATATATATTGTGTTATAGTAGTCTTTGTGTTCCCAAAACTTCAAGGGCTTCAAAACAGCATTTATTTCTATTTTGATTTTTCTCCAGAAAAAGAATTCACCAGACATTTAAACTTTTAATAATATTTTGGTTTTATTTACCAAGAAATTGGAAACCCACAGCAGACATCCTAGAGTCAGGGAATTCATTGTCCCTTTGTTATCAAAGAGAAGCAATCTTGTTCACGTGTATTTTCAGTTCAGCTCTGAATTATGGTAAAGACAAAATTTCATTCCAGCTTCACTTTTGGTTGCTTCATGTATATGCATGCCATTTTCTGTGCAACAATACAGGACTAGTTTGCCAAAGCATTTTCCTCGACTTACAACCAAAATTGAGCCCAAAATTTCTGTTGCTAAGTGAGACATTTGTTAAGTGAGTTTGCCCCATTTTATGACCTTTCTTGCCAATTGTTAAGTGAACCACTGCAGTTGTTAAGTTAGTAACATGGTTGTTAATGAATCTGGCTTCCCAATTGACTTTGCTTGTCAGAAGGCTGCAAAAAGTGATCACAGGACTCCAGGACATTGCAACCGTCATACTCGGTTGCGAAGCATCTGAATTTTGATCACGTGACCATGGGGATGCTGCAACAGTCATAAGTGTGAAAAATGGTCATAAGTTATTTTTCTGTGCTGTTGTAACGTCAAACGATCACAAACGAATTGTTGTAAGTCGAGAACTAACTGTTGTCTTCTTGACCAATCTAATTATGAATAATTAGCTTCTAGAAGAACAATTAGAACAATAGCTTTTTCGAGATCAACCAAGCTAGATGCTGCCTATCTTTTTACTTTGCTTCCCAAAGAGCTTCCATTGTTCTTTCTAAACATTCAGCCCATTCAAGGGAATCTAATAGGTCCTCCTATTTTTTTTTTAAAAAAAATCCACCAGATTTTCAAAGCTATTAACGATGCATTTTGCCTGCCTAAAACACAAACGGTCCAAATGACAGACCTGCTGTGCTCTGGGACAAAATGATCAGCAGGGGATGTAGAAGGGAATCTTTGCTCAACGTTCTCTCCAGGATGCTCAGGGCTGGGAGATATTTTTCTCTTTTCATTTGTGATTTCGCCGTTTTGGAACTCAGTGTTTTTTAAAAATTTCTAGACCTCTCCCTCATTCGGTCTGAATTTGATTCTCTTCAGTTCAGAGAATTATCATGCTGAAAAAAATAAATTTTCCCAAAGAAATAATAAAAAGCTAGTAGTCAGCACACACAATGGTGTCTAATTTGTTTGAATAAGATCTACAACAACATACCTTTGTGTCTTAGAATGAGATGTCCATTTTTAGAAAATCCATATAATAGCACAGTCATGAAATCTAGAGTTGGATACACTCTTTGTCCTGGGTCATTAGCATTCCTCATATATTATAAAATAGTGGAATGTGTACCATAAAGTTGTTATGTCTGAAATACTCTTTTTTGTTCTTTTTACAGGACATATAATTGTGCACATATAAAACATAATTCTTTATCGGTTAGAAATCTGAAAATCTGATTCCCAAACTGGATTTCAGTATTTGTGAAAGGAAGTCTAACATTTAATAAGAACAATTTTCAATGAATAAACTTTTAAAAACCCAGTGTAATTAATAAATATTTAATGTTAACTTCCTGTACCTTTTTTCAAAGATCACGATATATTTTCCATCTGTTAGAGAAGCTTTTTAAAAGAAAGACTTTCAATTGGGACTATCTTACAAAATCTCAGATAACTTAATAGTATTTAATATTGGTGTAAACCAGTATGAATCATTGGCAAGATGGAAAACATTTGCTTGAAATGGATATTAAGCTTCATGAGGTATGAGTTCCTATTTTTTTCAGAATATCAATTTAAGGCAAACAATATTTACATATTCGTGAAAATGGTATCTTGTGCCCCGCCTTATCTTTTTTTCCCAATGCTACCACCTTCCAAAGAACTGATAAATAAAAATAATAAATAATGGTTTTTCACTGCATCCACCATTTTATGATGCTCTAAGATCTGTTTTTACTGATAAAATGGTATTAGATGGCAGAGAAAGGAAATGAAAGTCCTTTCTCAAATTAGCTATTATTCTCTAGAGAGAAACCATTTTCGAGCCTGGTTTAGTTTTAATTCTTGATATTTTATTGGCAAATGTAGTGTTTTATTAGTTCCTCTTATTAGTTGAAGATTATTTTTTTCTTTGAATAGGGATGTGCCCAAAATCGTTTTTTTGTTGTAACTCAAAGCAAATGCTTTGTGTTCTGGAAGTTCACCAAACTATTCCAGATGAATCACAATTTGGCAGAAATAAAACTTGGATCATTTTTGTTGCACCTCATTTCTGCTGAAACAGAAATTGCAGGAATGCTTGAGCAGGTTTGTGAGGTAAGTAGAATAAAATTGGCTCACACTGTCCCCTCAGCAGTTCCCAGTGTAGCAGATTTTACCACCCTGATACCACTCAGCTCTTTGTCTTGCCTTTCCTCCCTCATGTGGTCTCAGCCACCACCAACATCCAAGTGTGTGTGTGTGCGCGCACACACACACACACACACTCCTTATAAACTCTTAGCCTACCAAGATGTTAATTCTTTTACGGTCACAGTGAAGTTTATGAACACACCAATCTTAAATCATCATACTATTTACAAGGCACACTTTACATGCTTTTGTCCAAGTGATCCTTTTCAGCAGCATGTATACCTGTTGGGGGAAGACATTAAAACAAGAGAAAATAGAGGTGTCTTTGGTCATTTAGAAACAGGACTCATGGGATGAGGTCCACCTTAGTTGGAATAATAATTCAATCATCTGAAAAGAGAGATATGCAACTTGGGGTGCTCCCAGATCCTTATTTTTACTGGATCCAGAGCAGTGGTGACATTCAAATTTTTTCCCTACCGGTTCTGTGGGCATGGCTTGGTGGAGGGTCCTGTGATTGAGTGGCCGTTGCCCACTCAATGTCACTCATGGCCAAAGCCACTCAGTTACATAACACCCCCCACCAAGCCATGCCCACAGAACCTGGTAGGAAAAAATGTGTGTATGAGCAGAGCTCATAGTGAATGCTGTGGCAGAGAACTTTTCTCCCTCCATTCACAGCGGAGCTGTTGCTCCCTTTATGGTCCCCCCTCCCCCGGTCCCCCTCTCTCCCGGGGGTTGAAGTACCTTAAAGTGACAGGCTGCAGCAGCTCCGCAGTGAATGAAGGGAAAAAAGTTCAGATTCTCTCTGCTGCCTTTAACATTGAATTCTGTGGAATATCGAGCAGCCGGATGGGCCGAGGGAGCGGCCAGAAGAGATGAGCAGTGAGCGGGCAGGGCCAACCAGGGGTGATTTTTACCGGTTTGGTGAACTGATTCAAATCGTCCCTACCAGTTCGCCCGAGCCAGTCCGATCCAATTGAATTTCACCCCTGATCCAGAGTATATGAAACCTTTGAAGAATAACATTAACAACCAAGTGCCACTTGTAACTCTTCCCGAGCTGGTTGAATCTGGCAAGTTCTTCACATCTTGGATAGGTGCCATCTTTATTCCTGAAATTTTGAAAAATGTCCAGAATTTATAAGTAAAAACTGCAGTCACTAGACTGCTGATTCAATTCAGTATTACTAGGAACTGATTACACAGCTACCTTATTTTAAAGCTCTAAATGGCTTACAGGCTATCTGAAACATTAAGGTTTATTTTTGTGTGGCTATTAGGTTCTGATAGAGAAATCTTTCTAAGGACACACTACTGACCCACCTTATTCCCACCTTATAAAATGCATAGTTGACCTCTTGCCAGCTGTGGCATTTAGAAAAACAAAAGAAGCTAATCTTTTTTATTAGGCCTTTAATTACTAAGCAATTTTAGTTTGAATTTTAATTTGTTTTTTAAGTTTTTTATAGTCGATTTTGTAAAAATGTGGGCTAGAAATTGAGTCAAATAAAAATACTAACTTACCGCTCCTCTGTCTCACCTAATGAAGCAATTGAAAGTGCCTAAATTTCAAATTCAGTAAAATAGACAATTTAGAATGTATATGGATAAATGGCCAGTGTATACAACCATAATCATTTCAAAAAAGGGGAAAAGTCACACATTCATTATATAATAAAGTATAATCATGGTTTAATCACAATCAAATCCAAGTGATATCCTGAGCACAACCCAACAATGAAGCACCTCAGCTCTTTCATTGCTTAACTGACAAGATGTTAAATTAAATAAGTGCTGAAAACTAAAGCCAAGTGTGTTAGTGAAAGAGTTAAGGACATGATAACTAGAGGAAAACCTCCGTGGTGCCCCTTCCCTTGGTGTCTTAACCATGTACTCATTAGTGGTTAATCCAGGACTGAGTAAAATGTATAATGATCATGGTTAATTTATAAGCAAATTTGAATGGTATGAGAACTATGACTAATTTCTTAAAAAGTCAGAACTGTTAAAATAAAGAACGCATGTAGAATGTCATAAATGAGGTGTTTCTTTTATAAGTCAATGGAATATATGCTCTGTCTTTTGAATATTTTAATATATTAATAAGATTGTGTATAAAAATAATTATAAGGTTAAAACCATTAAAAAGAATATTAAAATATACCTGACACAACCTTGATTATGTTCAAAAAGGTCTTGCTGCATTCATGAGAAAGCAAATAGATATTACAATCCCTAACCCTGATTAACATCTTATTCCTAAAATTGCCAAATTCATAAAATTTGATTACAAGGATGATACTAGAATTATAATCCCCAGAGTTTCTTACTTCTAAAGCAATCATTAGGTTTTGATCCTAGAGTCAGTTCTTAATTGCTTTAGTAGCAAAACCACAGAAAAGAGTAGGAATTAGCAGAGTAGGAGTAGGAATTATCTTCTTATGCTCTTCATTCAAATTAAATTTAGGGTTAAGATGCTAGAACTCTTGTCAGGATCAGCCTCACTGCTTGAATTCATTTCTGTGACTGACTCTAAACTAATTTCCAGTGAAGCCTATTTGTTATTCTAGGTATTTTGTACACAAAAGTGAAAAGGAGTATATTTTCCATTACACATTGGATGATACAGCAGTTTTAAAATGATTGTTGTAATGAAGTCCAACAACAGAAAAGGAGACACTGGATATGAAGTGTAAATATTTCAAAATGAAGAACTGTACATAAACTGTATATAAACCTTATAAACCAATACCAAGTTTGAAGGGGCGTATCATAAATCAGAACCTCCACATAGATAGTGTACGTAACACCGTCTACAAAGAATAGCATGACTGAGGAACTTTATACCATATAAGAAGGTATCCAATTTGTCTGTAAGAGTTCCAAAGCCCATATTAATGCAGGCCGTGTTACAGGTCAGAAAACTGTTTACAGGGTTTTGAATTCTTTAGTAGTTGCTATGCTATAGGATGAACAAAGAGAAAAGTGGGAGGACAGCCTGAACGACACCAAAGCCAAATACATAGCATTTGATAAATAGATGGCATATGATTGATATTTTACAATTGTCATAGTTGGCTCTACATAGAACTGGGATTGTTTCAACAACTTGGACTTTTTTTGGACTTTCCATGATGAAGGGAACAACCAACCAACCAACCAAAATACAAATAAAGACCATTTGTTTATTCAAAACTGTCTAATAAGATAACAGAGATGCTGCTAAAGTATGAATGCAATGCTAGCAGAAGTCTTTCTAGAGACAAAAGATACGACTGTGCACTAAAGTTTTCAACCACACACCACAGTGTGGTTTTAGTGACTAGATGATGGAAAAATCAGGGATCAGTTTTGCAAAAAGTGTGTAACATTCTGAATATATGTGATCCCCAAGAAAAAAATAATTCTTCTAGATGGCACAAATAAGAGTACAGAAAAAATACTTCCACTGTCTACCATGAATTTGA